GGTGCCAACCTGTGCCACCATCTCACTGTAGCTGAGGAGAGCACATGTCCTTACAGGGGATGCAATGGGTTGTGCCATCTTCCTACACAACCTAACACTGCACAGTTAGTTTAGAATTACATGCTCATTGTTCACCACTTATCTTATGGAGCCATGGAACAAGCTCAGTTATAAATTATTTTTAACAATCCTGAAATGTACAAAACAAAAAAAAAAAAAACCACAAACAAAAAGAAAGGCAACAAACTATAAAAACATAGCGCCTTCATTTTAGAATTTAAGTGTATGGATTCATGGGGAGATGGGAAGAAACTTCCTTTTCAGAAAATCTATGAAAAGGCATCATGGCTGACGTAGATTCCATCACAAGGAATCATCACACCAGGTTCTTTCAGTTTGGTTTTCTACCTCTCATCCAGGAAATACCATCTGTTTGGAAACAGCATTTGGCATTTTGCTTAAAGTCCACTGCTGCCCAAAGGTAAGGTTAGCATAACACTTAGTACAAATCCGCGCACTTGTGAACACGTCCTCTCCACCTTCACAGGTCATCCTATAGCAAGTTGATTTGGCTTGGGCAACATAAGCTGATATATAGGCTGCTCAGCTGCACAAGCAAAATAACAGGCAATTACAGATGGCTGAAGGCAAAGACAGTGAAGACTGAGGAAGTGGAAAGCAGCAGCCAGCTACACACAAGACACACACAAATAACTGTCTTTCAGAGCAAGAATTTCACCTCCCATCTACATTAGGTTCACTCTATCTCACTCCTCAAAACTAGCCTAGGAAAAGAGGGGAGGTAGAGCTCATGTGTTCCTGAAGTAGCAATGAGGAGAAAACCCCAGAACGATCAGAGCAGTTCAAGGGATAGGGGCTTTCCTGCTGGCACTGTTTTAACTTCAGTGCTGTTAGGTCTCATCTTCTATAACCTCAAATAAGGAGGTTGGAGGAGAACTGGAATGGAATCTTACAAGCCCATGGACAGTATAGGGAACCACACACTTTCTGCTTGGCTGGGTATCTTGCAAACCTGTTTGAGTAAAAATGGCCTGCCCAAATGAAGGCTCACTTTTTCCATCTCCAATAATGTCAAGGCTTTCTTAGCAGTTTCCTGGGGAGTTTCACAGTAAATAAATGGATAATTGACACTCATTATTCTTGATATTAACCTTGAATTTTCAAGTCTTTTTACATAAGAAAATGGCAGCAATGAGAAGAACTAAAAGATTTTTTTGGTAATTCTATAACGATAATTAGGCAGTAATGTTGAGGAAATATGCTTTATTTTTACAATATGGAAAAATGCCTTTGCCTTGATTAACAATAAGAAGTGTTCCAAAATTCTCCTTCATTGGCTTAACATACTTACTGGATGCCTCATGATAGTTTGGTAGCAAATAATCACAAGCAGTACACATTTGGAGTCCCTGCCAAGCAAAGCCCCTACCACAAAACACTCTGGAGTGAATCTGCCTCAGTCTTTCCTCAGTCAAGGAAGTTCTGCTCATCAAAAATAAACAGTGGATGAAGAAGCAAGGTGTTTCCTAAAAAATGCAATATCCAGGAATTTTCTCTTAGCTTAGTGAATATTATTGTAGAGTGAAATGTTTCAAGCTGTTATAACAGTCCTCAGGATTCAGAATTTCAAAGTTCATTCTCCAAGAGGAGTAACTGGAATTTGGGTCTCTAAAAGGTCCAGGATTTCTTACCTATTATCTCATTTGATATGAATCCCCGCAAAGCAAGTTGCTCTGTGAATCTAGCCCTTTGCATCCAGATCGCCTATATTTGTGGACACAAGCAAAACCAGAGCATCTCAAGTCAAACAAAACATTCTGTTCAACACAAAAATCAGTGTTTTCAACTCATTCATACAAATCTGAATTATTCTGGTTCAGCTCACTGGGCCAAAAGGAAACGGGAGATTCTTTCAGTACTACTGGTTCCACATGCATATGAACCTTGGACTCAAAACTCTGGCACTGAGAGACTGTTTTAAATAGCATGAGGAGGCCAAGACCCTGCCTTGTTGAAGAAAGTGTAAAATTATTTGGGATCAAAGCTGCAATCTATAAACTGTGCCCTTTGCTTCAGATAGGCAAGGAAATGCAGATACATGCAACATCCTCTATCCATTCAGAGCAAAATCCAAGTACCACAAGTCTCACCTTTGCCAAACATATACAACATTCTCCACATGAGGTTTGGGCATATACAAAGTTTGGTGTTTACAGGCTAGCAATGGATGGTTTCAAGGACCAGTTGTAAACTTTGGTCCCTTTGATGTGGAAACTTCTATGTAATGTTAGAGTACAGGAAAATTTTTTGCAAGGTACTGCTTTCTCCTCTTATGAGCTTCAGTCCCAAACAGTGTATTTGTACAATGACTCAGAGGAAGGCACTGCCTCTAGATACAATGGTCTAAACTTTGCCCTGGCATCTGGGGCCATCACACAACTCTTTTTGACATGGTAGCATTCTGATGTTCAGCAACCTTTGAGTGACTGGATGAAAAATCAGATTTGGTAAAGGAAGTAGTACAACTTCCAGTACACAAAACCATTGTATGATGTGAGCTCAAGGAACCAGATACTGCAAGAGAAGTCTGGCAAGAGAGTTTACCACAAGATTCCTGTTTAATATGAAACCACCCCTGCTGACTGAACTAGACTGGGCATTGTACACTGGTTTTATTCTGGGCCTGCATTTTGTCAGTCTCAGAAGGAGACCATATGATAGGACGTTGAAACCACCGAGTTAAGTCAGGAAAATCACACTTCTCACACCACTCAGTGCGTAGAACAACCATATGGAGTCAGACCAGAAGTCCACCTAACCCACTACACCTTCTCCAACAGCATAGGTTGCTATAGGTAGAGCATACCTATATAGGTAGAGCACAACAACATTAGCCCCTTATGTAGAATAAATCCTAAGGCTTCAATGCTTAAAACTATCTAACTCAATGCTGCAGCAATCTCATGCGCCCCTTTCCAAACTTCCTCAGCTCTGGTCTACAGCTAGAAAGCCGAAAAAAGCCTGTCCAAATCTAAAACAGACTAGTTTTCTGATTATTTAGCTTCCTCAGATGAGCACAGAGGTTTGAGAAAAGGGAGGAGAAAGCTGGACCACTGATAATCCTGCCCTGGATTGCCACAAACTGCCATGAAAACAATTATGAAATTAGCTCTCTTGGCTTCCCTGTAAACTGTTAGCTTCCACATGCCACCCTGTTCTCAGATCCTTTGCTGACCTATTTCAACACATTAATTTGCCAGAAAACCTGACTAAAGATTTCCCCCTCTTAACTGACTTCAGACTGAAATAGCTCAGTTAAAACCTGTAAATGTAGCTCTCAAAGGGGTTTAGACTACAGTGAAACTTCAGTCCAACTTGCTAACAGTGTATCAGCAAATCATACCATGCCCCCGATAAAGCTACCACTTCAAAACCAAGAAGTCGAAGCACAACCAGGAGAAAAATAAGCAACCCTTACACATACAGCCCACACAACAAGTCACTCAATAGAGTTAAATTTACTTCACTGTATTTTGTACCCAGAGAGAACATTTTGGGATAAGGTTCCAAACAAGGCAGCACAAATTTAATATAGTGTCTCCCATGTCATACCTCTGGCAGCCCTAACTCTGCCCTTGAAATCTGATCTAGCCCATCCTGTGCCTGTTTATGAGGTAACTGAAGAATCTGCACAAAAGACAACAGCCTGTATTTTACCATCTTTCCACACAGGTCTTTCAAAAGAATACTGTAAAAATAACCTAGCAGTAGGAGCACTGAAATCAACAAGACTCTTCAAGAATTAATAACCATACTCTTAACATGTGTTTTTTAATGCAATGTGGAAGGTCAGAACTTAAAATACTTGGAGCCTTGGCATTTGGTCACACTGCAGCTTATCTTACTGGGTTTTACATCAACACAATTTCACCTTCACATTTAAGCAGATATTATAGCTAGCCAGAGAAACAGCATGATAATATGTACCCTTGAACTTCCATTTCTTAATTCACTTCTGAAATGTGACGTGGCACTAGTGCAGCAATCAGCAGGCAGCCTAACGTTACGTAAACAGTTTCAAAAGCCTGATGGATATAGAACAGATTAAGTTTTAGTTTGGAAGAATAAGAACTTTGCAGCTTTGCTAAGCAAAAACTAAAAACCATTAACAGGTTTTAGAGGAAGGTGGCTGCTCTAGGTTGGCACAACCAAGCTTTTACAAGCAGTCTCCACACATCAAACTATCTTATTGCCTCTGTCAACAGCAGGCAGTAAGGAACCAAGAGACATCAGAAATGTTAAGTCTTCAAACGATTCTATAAGCAAGCTGTGAAGTCATTTGTTCTACCACAGAAGCTGGTTAGTCAGCCTCATCTACCAGGATACCAGGTACATAAACAAGTCTATCACCTACTATTTCTCAAGGAAAAGAAATCACATTCTCCCTCACAAACATTTTTTGCTCCTCACACACCAACTGCAAGGCACAAGACCTAAAGAAAGCCTTTAACAGATCAATTTAAAGGGAGACCACTTATCACGTAAAATGACAACATGGTATTTTTCCGTCAAAATAATCAAGCTACATCATGAGTTTTTCATCAGTGTCTACTGTGAAACCCAGGAGAGGTTTATAAAAATAATTACATGCAAGTAATTACGTTAAATATGATTACCCATAATTAATCATCTCAGTCATGGGATAACAACCAGCACTATTTTGTGATTAAGAGATCAGGTATCAAGTCTTGCTCTTTCTGCAGAGAGGCACTTCAGTGTGGTATTTGTGTCATGCGAGCTACTGACCTCCGGCTATCAGCACCAACATCATATCATAGTTCACCTTCAGACACCTATACATCACTCTGATAAGTAGAAACATTCTTCACAAGCTCTAAGTGCGCGTACATTAAGTGCCTAGATGGTGTACTTCACCGAGGAACCCGTCCCTATACAATTTCATTGAACTGAAACACCACTGTTCTTCAACTTTTATTTAGTTCACTTAGGTTGACCAAATGAGCTTCCCTAAAGTAAACAGGGTTATAAAATATCAGAATGATTCTATCCTTAGGTGCTCAATAGAAACAAATACTTGGTTCAACTAGAAAACTTTAAAAATGACTTTAGATACAAAAGTGTAACAATTATACTGCGCGATACAACTTGATATATCACTAAGCCCATGAAATTAAAGTTTTTTTGCACCATCAAGAATAGCCACAAGTCCTGAACCTCCATTCTTTATGCATCCTTGACCAGAGTAAACCTAAAGTTGGGAATGCTTGGGATTCAAAATACCCTGAGCACATACTAGTGCAACACCACAAAGCATACATAATCCGTCGGAAAAGGGAGAACCGGAAAGGTGGGGGAAAATTAGCAAAAATCAGATGGTGCTATATTATACAAGCATGAACGTAAGTTCCTTTGGAAAATAACTTCTTGGGTGGACTTCTGGACCAGTGAGGTAGCCCAATGGGAGAGAAAGAAAGTGGAAGTGGAACTTGGTCCCCACGCGTGATACCTGCCGGAGGGTCCCTTGCATCTCCCCGAGCCCCGGCGGGGACGGGCCGAGGCCCAGGCCCGGGCCCTGGCTGCGCGGCCCGGCAAGCCGCCCCCCGTGAGACTGGGGGTCCGGCCCCTGCCAGAGCGGGCCCTAAAGTGCAGCAGCGGAACACGATCCAGACAAAAGCAATGTAAACAGGTGACTGATATCGGTCTCTTTATCCGCACCGCGGGGAAGGTGAGGAGCCGGACAGCACCCCCCCCCCCAACCCCAACCCACCCGCGGCCTCAGGACGGCGCCACGGGGAAGCGGCGCACCCGCACCACTGGAGACAGGTCCACGCCGAGGATCCGCTGCGCTCGGCGCTGAGCCGCCGCCAGGATCCGGCGGTTCCAGACGCTGCCCCGCACCCGGATGGAGGGGAAGGTGGTGAGGCTGGGGGTGGCCGCCTTCCAGATCTCCTCCAGCGACTTGCCGCCGAAGGGCTCCCAAGCGGCGCCCCCGGCCGGGCTGTCCCGCTCGCTGTCCGCCTCCCCGTCCGGCGGGCACAACGCCAACGCCGCCGCCTCCTCCCCACCAACGCAGGGGTCAACGGCTACCGGTGCCCTCTCTTGCCGCTGCCTCTCCCGTACCCTCCTGCGGCGCCGCCGCCGCCGTCGCCGCTTGGAGCTGCCACCGGCCGTCGCTGCCCGGCGCTTGGCGTCCGCGGCTGGGAGGCGCCGCTTGCCGACGCGGCGGCGGGGTCGCTCCGCCGAGGGCGGCGGCGGGTCGGGGACGACGGCTCGGCAGGAGGCGTATCCGTAGACGTCCTTGCTGCGGAGGATGACCGGGGAGAACTCGTGCTTGAGGCTGCACAGGAAGTTCCAGAGCTCCGAGTCGGAACTCATGAACTCCGTGGACTTGGGCATGAAGAGCTTGAGGGCGTCGCCCAACGCCTTGGTGCCGGAGAAGGAGACCTGTGAACGCGAGTACACAACTTTCTCTGCCCCCCCTTCCAGCCCCCACGCAGCGGGCGCAGCTCCCCCGTCGGCTGTCTCCGCCGACACCGCCTGGTCTCCCGCACCCGCAGCGGCGCTCCCCGTCTCTTGGTTCATCTTTCCGGCTCCTCTCTCCAGCGCCGCCTGCTTCCTACTGCGGGTCATGGAGCCAGAGGGACGAGGCGGGCGGGGTAAAAGATGCTGAGAAGGGAGAGCGGATCAGGGATGAGAGGCCGGCCGCAGCTCGGCCGCCGCCGAGCGCCCACCGTCCCACCGCACCCTGGCGCCCTCCCGCCCAGTGGGGAGCGACGATCGATAGCCTACCGCCCGGCACAAAATGGCGCTTTAAAGTCCCAGGCGGGACTGCGCACCGGCCCGCCCTCCCTCCGCGCCCGGCGGTTGGCCCGTTTGAAACGCGTCAGGTGGGCCAAGCCCCGCCCTCCGCGAGGCGGCCATTGGGAGCGTGGCGAGTGCCCCGCGCTGCGGGTCGCTGGAGCGGTTTAGCCTGGTGCGGGTGCCTAAGGGCTGTCCCGGCTGGTGCCCCGCAGCCCCTGTGCGGTGTCCCAGTTGGTGGCCCCTTTCCTCAGGGAACATGGCCGGTTCCGGCAGGCCTGGTACAACCGCTGCACTGCATGCGGGTGTCACACCTTGTCGCGAGGGTCAGGTTCTTCACAGGCTGGTGGGCAAGGATGGATTCAGCCCTGAAATGTGATTGAGTAAGGACTGGGTTGGAGGCTTCAATGGGCAGGGTCCTGTGGAGGAAGAGTGATGAGTGAAATGCTAAAAAGGGGTAAACAGACGTGAAATGGGGAAGGCCACCATACCCTGTTAAAGGCACGCATTGTGTTGCAGAGGACTTTTTAACATGAACCTGTAGGCTGGTCATTCAACAACATCGTAAGTCACAGAATCACAGAACAGTTGAGGTTGGAAGGAACTTGTTGAGGCCATAGGCTCCAAGCCCATGCTCAAAACAGGGCCACCTAGAGCACGTTGACCCAAACTCTGTCTAGATGACTCTTGATTGTCCCTGGGGATGGAGACTCCTCTCTCTGGTGACCAGTGATATGACATGAGAAAACAGAACAAAGCTTCATCAGGAGAAGTTCAGATTTGCGTTAGAAAAAAACTTCACTAAGGAGTGGTCACTGGAACAGGTTCTCCAGGGAACTTGTCATGGCACCAACCCTGTCAGAGTTCAGGGAGCATCTCAGTGATGCTCCCTGTCATATGGTTTAGCTTTAGGTCATCCTGCAAGGAGCAGGGAGTTGGACTCGATGATCCTTATGGACCCCTTCCAGCTCAAGATATTCAACAAGGCGCTTGGTGACAGCCTGCATGGCTTCACTAAGGGGAAATCGTGCCTGACCAATTTGGTGGCCTTCTATGATGGGGTTACAGAACTGATGGACAGGGGTAGAGCAATTGGCGCCATCTACCTGGACTTTGCAAAGTGTTCGACACTGTTCCGCATGACATCCTTGTCTCTAAATTGGAGGGACATCAGTTTGATAGGTGGACCACTCAGTGGATAAAGAACTGGCTGGATGGCCGCACACAAAGAGTTGTGGTCAATGGCTCAATGTCCGGCTGGAGACCAGAAACAGGTGGTGTCCCTCGGGGATCAGTCTTGGGACCGGTCTTGTTCAACATCTTTGTCGCTGACATGGACAGTGGGAGTGAGTGCGCCCTCAGCAAGTTTGCCGACGACACCAAGCTGTGTGGTTCGGTTGATACGCTGGAGGGAAGGAATGCCATCCAGAGGGACCTTGACACGCTTGTGAGGTGGAGTGATGCCAGCCTCATGAAGTTTAACCATGACAAGTGCAAGGTCCTACACCTGGGTCAGAGCAATCCCAGGCACAGCTACAGGTTGGGCAGAGAAGAGATTCAGAGCAGCCCTGAGGAGAAGGACTTGGGGGTGCTGGTCGATGAGAAAATGAACATGAGCCAGCTTCAGTGTGCGCTTGCAGCCCAGAAAGCCAACCGTATCCTGGGCTGATTCAAAAGGAGCGTGACCAGCAGGTTGAAGGAGGTGATCCTGCCCCTCTACTCTGCTCTCCTGAGACCTCACTTGGAGTATTGTGTGCAGTTCTGGTGTCCTCAACATAAAAAGGACACAGAACTGTTGGAACAAGTGCAGAGGAGGGCCACGAGGATGATCAGGGGACTGGAGCACCTCCCATATGAAGATAGGCTGAGAAAGTTGGGGCTGTTCAGCCTGCAGAAGGCTGTGTGGAGACCTCATAGCAGCCTTCCAGTATCTGGAGGGGACCCATAGGGATGCTGGGGAGGGACTCTTCCTTAGGGACTGTAGTGATAGAACAAGGGGTAATGGGTTAAAACTTAAACAGGGGAAGTTTAGATTGGATATAAGGAGCAAATTCTTTCCTGTTAGGGTGGTGAGGCACTGGAATGGGTTGCCCAGGAGGTTGTGAATGCTCCATCCCTGCAGTGTTCAAGGCCAAGTTGGACGAGGCCTTGGGTGATATGGTTTAGTGTGAGGTGTCCCTGCCCATAGCAGGGGGGTTGGAACTTGATGATCTTAAGATCCTTTCCAACCCTAACTATTCTATGATTCCACAATGTGAGGAGCCTGTCCTTTTATGCCAAGCTGCTTTCTGTCTGGGTGACCCCAAGCATGTCAGCCCATTTCTTCAGCCTGTGGACACTAGAATATTCACAGCATTTTGGGGAAAAAAATCAAGTCTTTGCATGGTTCAGCCCTTTGTGAGAGTCAACATCTTGCTGAGTCCACAACACCATTTCCTCCTGCTTGAGACTGCTATGTTTGCAGCCTTATAACACAATTTTGTCAGCTGTTGTGAAACCCCATGTCCCTCTAGGTCATGCTTTCTGGTACTTCAGAAACTGTTGGCACAGGGAGAATGTTCCGTTAGGTTCCCGCATTGTTTCAATTAAAACAGAGCTCTTTTCACAAGCCAGAACAGCAAGGTGTCAGCAAGGGCAGATGTGGTTTAACCTTCCCTACAAATCCAGCTCGGGGTTTCATTAGACTCCTAACTAATTACTTTCTCTGAACATCAGTAAAGGGCGAGAAGTAACATTTTTCTTCATAGATAGTCTTTGTTTTGTAATTAATCTTTCAGTTTAGAATAGGGAAAGCTTTTATTCTCAACTCATCAAGAACCTAAATTGGAATGTTTAGAAAGCCAGTCAAATAAGAGGCAGAAATTCTGCGTAGGAAATTATTCCTTACTGCCAGTGGAAATAAATGGATTTTCTTTACAGTATAATTTAGCTCGTATTCATGGAAACTCAGGAATATTAATCCAAATAACCATTTGAAATGGATATTAACAAAGCCATTTTAAATCTTCATAGGGACAGTCTTCAAGTGCAGCCATATCCTAAACCAACTTTACAGATGACCCATTTCACAAAACAACTTTCCCCAAACAATGGTGTTAGTACTGTTTTTAATTGGATTAATTTCACAGTGTACTTTAGAGCACAGTCATGCAGTCAGATTGATTTAACTGAGGGAGGTATCCTACAATGCAGAGGATAAGAGCCCAGAGCAGGCGGCATTATGGCCAGGCATCTCTTGATCCCGCCGTGCTGCAGTTAATCACACTCTGGCATACAAGTGCCCACTTGCAGCCACGGGGTCATCACAGCTTAGCAACAGGCTCATCACCTGCAGGACCACAGGAGATGGCCTCTGCTCACATTCACAGTGGAGGGAGCTCCCACACTATCAGCCTCAGCAGCTCAGCTGACCAGTGGGTCCTTATTAAACTGCAGAAACCCAGTTGCTTATAATCATTAGCCATAACCTTTTCCCTGAAATTACAGATATTTCTGGCATATGACTAGAAAATCTTTGAGGCAAGTTCGGGAATTTTCAGCAAGCAGTAGATGAGTCACTGTAGCTACAAATGAAAAGATGGAATAGTGCATGTGTTTGTTAATCAGCACTTATTCACTAATTTTACTGTTTTGCTTCCAGGATGGACAAATCCGTTTTAACGCACAATACGTAATCTCACTTTTACAACTTCATCATGAGGTTTCTGCAGTGTAACACTTTCATTTTAATACCTTTCAAAGTCATCTCAAGAAAATCCATGGTAATTGGCTATCTTTTAGTATTTTACAGTAGCTCAGTACAGTAATAATGATGATAATAAAAATGAATAATCCTTTGGACATGTATAGCTCTTCATTTTAATCATACTATTTCTTATAAGTATTAATTATCATTCATGGTACTCCTGAGTTATGTAAGTAAATATTGCCTTTCTTTAACAGATGAATAAAATGAAGAAGTGGATTAAAATGGCTTGACTAAGATGTATAGACTCTATGACTTAATTTTCTGTAGATCTTAATTTTTAACAATTGTTATTCTAAAAACACAGTGAATGTCTACACTGGAGAAGACTAAGAGAAAGATAAGAGAAGAAGGGAAGGGAAAAGAAGGGAAAGGGATGGGGAAAATATCTGTAATTTTTGCTCTCTTATTTGTTAGCATTTCTTTTCTTTATAGAATTCTTGAGAAGGAGGGGCAAAATACCAAATGATAAATTACTGCAGAGACACTTTATTTTCTTTAATTCCTGCCTAGTACCATAAACACACCAGTAACTGCTAATTATTTTAACTGTTAACAGTGTTTTCTGTACATGTAATCACGTCACATTTTGAGTCCTGATGAACCCTAAAATCCTGTATATTAAGTCACACCACTTCTGCTGCTGGGGCTTTTCCTCCACCATACTCATGCTCTTCTACCTAGATTAGCAATGTCAGTCTTACTGCCCAATGCCTTTAAAGGTAGCCACACTTTTCCACTAGCTTTACCTTGGCTGTTGAGTGGTTGCATTAACTGGGAGCCTGCTGCAGTTAATTTGCTTCGTAAATGTTTTTAGCATACATTTGGGGAAGTTTGCGTGACAGTGCAAGCGTGACTCCACATCCATTCACAACTAAACAAACCAGATGTTACCCAATAGTCATCAGGTTCCTGGGTCTGAGAAGTGCCCAGACAAGCACTGGCAAAATTCCTGAAAATACTTTCAAAGATAGACAGAAGCAAATAATTTACAAGAATAATCTCTCAGCCAGTTATTAGGAAAAAAAAAAAAAAAAAAAAAAAAAAAGTGGGATTGCTATGTGTAGGAATCACAGTTGCAGTCAAAAAGGGAAAGAGGATGTTAGGTATCACTGTGGAAGGGATAGAAGGCAAAACAGCAAACAGCATTCTGCTGAATACAAGTCCATTGTCCCTACACAGTTCCCGAATACTGTGCGTTTCTAGTCTTACCATATCTAAGAGGTTATAGCAATGATATGAAGAAGGGCAACTAGGGTGATCAGAAATATGGAACAGCTTCTCTATGAAAAAGAGATTA